TTTTTTTTCGAAAGAGATACCGTTAAAAATAGACAGCTGAAAAATAGAATGTTGAAAAATAAAAGTAGATGATTTAAAAATAGACAGAAATGGAATTTGATACCACTTGAAAACTTTATTGCAACAGTAGGCTAACAATGTAACAATGTGCAAATAAATATACTTTTTGTCACTTTAACTTTAGAGATTATTTTCTTTGTTTTTACTAAATATGAATTTCAGCCCACTGTTGTCGTAAAATCTTTAATTGTAAGGGCAACACATTTCTGGAAAAATACTGTTCGATAAAATCTCCATAAAAATATATAAAAATATTAGAGGAGAAAAAATATTTACTTACAATTATTGTTGTTTTTATTGGCACAAACATGGCAACAGATTAAGATAAGCCCGAACGCTACGAAATTCATTTTTCTACAAAGTAGAAAACAATTGATTTAACAACTGCTTTAGAAAACAAAGCGGATTAGAATATTTTCCTTAAAATATTCTAAGTCGCTTGATTTTCGAAGAATTTGCCACGAATTTATCACAATCCCGAACAGTGAGCATTCTTGCGACGTATTATATACATATTAATATTAGGGAATCGAAATCTCAAGGCTACGATCGTGAATACAGATTTTATAATCGATCATCGTAGATGATGGATTTAGTTCTACGAAATTCCAATGGATACGAATGTTAATCTGATGAATCGCAAACTCTTATTGTTTCTGGAGAAGTTCTTTAGAGGCAAAAAAAGCACTTAACGATAATTAATGGATTGGAACGTACCTGAATATTCTTGGCGAAGAGACTCAGGCGTATTAACGAGTTAGTACATTTGACACTATAGACTGGAAAATATTGAGTTGTTGAGTAGAAATACACCTTGGTGATAATTATATTCGAATTATTTGTAAGTTGAGTCATTAGTATTTAAGTGTCACAATTGTCCTTGCACTTGCATAACTCATATTTTGATAAGAATTGCGCAAATTGTTGTCATTGAAAAAATTATGCCACGTCCTTATTATATATAGGTAACGATAATCACGCGACGGCGAGCTAGGTAGGTCGGTTAAAGGTACAAATATCTATAAAATTGCGTGCGAAATTGATTCCGTTAAAATTAGAATTACAGATTATAAATGATACGTCGCCTTACCAAGTATTGTATTTAAAAATATTGTATTTAAAAAGTGTATATAATTTCACCCCTATGAAGGTTGTGCATTGATTGTGAAGTACATTTGGGTTATTTGGATTCCCAAGGGCAATTCCCAAAGGTAGGAAGAAAAAGTAAAAGTGTCATCTAGCTGCCACCTGCTTTCCCATAACCTACGGTATGCTTTGGTATCATCTTTTTACCCTCCATCCTGTACCTTTCTCGTTTTTTTTTTATCTTGATCCGATGTCATTGGAAGCCGAGTATCGATTTATAACGCACACTAATAGGGAACAGAAATCCCAACACTACGAACGCGAATATAGATTATCATCGATTGCCAAAGATAATGAATCTGATTCTACGAAACTCCAATGGTTTCGAAGAATATAAACGAGGGATAATTCATGAATTCTTAATGTTTCTCGAGAAGTTCTTCAGAGACACGAAGAGCTGCGCTCAACGATAATTGATGAATTGACAAAAATCAGATATCGTTGCAGCGTTGCCTGAGACTCTTGCAACGTAACGCTACGCGTGCGTAATATAATAACGCACTTTAATGTAATATGGAAATTATGGTGTCGCATAGGTGGAGGGTGAATACATCGAATGCCTACTTTATTATCAGAATGACGCGCGACACCGAGCACGCTTATCATCGCCGATCGCGTTCGGCAATTATCCTCCTTCGTGAATCATTACGCGTTATTACGTTACATGTACACACGCATATTGCAGCATGCGTGCACGCGTGCACGCGCCATGAGTGCACTCTGACGAGTGACGGCGGGATGTGCATCGTCGCGCGGAGCATTTTACATGTATAATATCATGTATAATAGCCAAGCAGATCAAACAACGCATCATAACATATCATAAATATTTATACAAATATTTATCTCCATGAATTATTGATTATTGATTTTGTAGATGTGACATGTATTATAACTTGACTGCGTCAAATTTTAAGGTACAGAAGATTTTAATGTACAGAAAAAGTTGCAATTAATGATAACAATAATAATGTTATGATAATATTATAGCTCCCGGTAAATATAATTTTTTAGATATGGATAATACGAAATTATGCAACAAAGGACTGAATATATGTAGATATTAATTTCGAAGCCAAGGGGGCAACACGACAGAATGTAATAAAAATAATTATATAAGAGAATAATAGTGTCACATGATTTACCTGCTAACGGACAATGGCGCTATTAAAATTAAATAAGGTGCTTCACCAAAGGAAAAAAATTGCATCAAGGAACGAAAGTAGGACACAATATGACGGGACCCGTTCTGCCTAGCAGAGTAACAGGGCTTTACACATCGCCGCTGTCATTACGTCGTCGGTTCTTCTATCCTTTCGGTGTGTACGAGCCTTTGTTTCATTCACCGACAACCAACGTACGAGAGAAGAACCGGCGCGAATGGCGAGCGTACGCACGCACGCACTCGAGCGCGGAACCCCTTCAAGGATGAGAATGAGCCGTGCAAAGAAGAGAGAGGGATTCCCTCGGTTTGTGTCTTCCTTCGAGCGCACATCCTCTTCCATTTGATGAGGACTTTAATTTGACTTGTACACGATTACGGCAACGGACAGATCACCTTACTTCTGTTTCCCTCGCGCTCAGAATGTGATTCTAACGCAAATATGCATTTTGTATAATTCATTTTACTTGTACTGTGTAATCGCATCTTGACATTTATGTCTTCTATGTGTAGTTATATAAATATATTACTGAGAGAAATGATTTTGTTATAGGAATAAATCAAGGGAAAGCAAATGTGATATTTGTTAAAAAAACCGATCGATTTGTTACGATTGCAAATTAATTCGTCAATGTAACAAATAATCAATAGCTAGCAAATAAGAAGCTCATCCAAAAGATAGATTAGATTCTATATAGTTTGCTTCTGTTACTAATAATTGGTTGGTATAGCAGACTAGCAGCAAACAAAATTTGTTGTCACATATTTTAATCAATCACCGGTTAAAAGTACTGGCTTGCTAAATTAACAAAATCTTTTGTCTCAGTGATTAATGAAATAACTAACTATCTTTTGTACAAGACGGTCAGCTAGTTTATAATTTTTGCAAAGCTTTATTTGACATATATAGTGAACCTATAAATAATAATCAATTTATAAGTTAGGATGTAATTCTACCTGTTCTTATGAAATACAAAAAAAAGTTTGAAGAAACGCATATACATGTACAAGATACATATCAAAATACATGTACGGAAACATAGCATATGAAATTATATTTAGGATTCTATGTTCCGAATTTTTACGTGAATTATAGATCATTCAGAGTGGGCTTGCACGAAAACTACATGAAATATTCATTGTAATGATCAACATTATTAATACGTGCCTTTTAAAATTATGTGAATATTTAATAGTCCGTTTCCGTTTTCAGTTGAAATTCATAGTTCCAGGTTATAAAATTAAATCATCTAATTCTATTTATAATATGTAGGATATATATTACGCATATAACATAACAAGAAGAGAACAAGGAGATTTTTTTTAATTAATTAAATGAAACTGCGTTAGCAGTATACATGTTTATATTCTCCAATTATTTTACAAGATAATTTTAACGTCGGAAAATGTTATTACATCAATTTTTGTGTTATTTTTTTATAATTTAAAAGTAGATGAGTTTATAGATATATTATGCGTACCTATAATCTCTGAGCGAAAGTTGCCGTAGCATAAATTAAAATGCATAATGTATACGCATCCTTAATTACTTGTTAGTGCATATATTATACTATAATATATATTATAGTAATGTACATTCTTTATTCTTATCGCTCAAGATTCTCTGCAATATGCTCTCTCGTGCTTGAAACGGAGTCACGTTGCTCGGTTTCGTCACAGCTGAGCGATGGGAGGCGAGCCGGATTCAATGGACTTTTGATCAAGACGAAGGACACGTAGTACTCGTGCGTTACTCCCGCCATGTAATTTCACGGTCGAAAGAGAACGGGGGTACTACGACGTACTCGAAAGAGCGGACGTAGTAGCCTCGCTAGAGAAAGGATAGACTGTCTCTCTTTATCTTTCTCTCTTTCTTTCTCTCTCTCTCTCTCTCTCTCTCTCTCTCTCTCTTTCTGTGTGTTTCTCTCTTTTCCCCCTCTTTCTTTCTTCTTTCTTGTATTTTTCACTTGAGACAGAAATCAGCTTGAATTTTGACGATGTCGCCGTCGTCGTCGCACCTGTATAATTATCAACGATTAATGATGATTTAATACTCTCGCGTTTAAAGGGACTTTAAATCGGGCCACGCATTTCTTACTATAACTATGATGAAACGGGCTGCTTCGTAACTTCTTTTCGTAAGAAAAAAGGAAGATCTAACGATTCTCTGATGAATCTCTTGCGATTATTCGTAGGTATATGCTGACAACCACATTACTATAATAATACACGTCTGATATTAACAATACATGTTGTGGAAAAATTATGGGAGATAAATAACAAACAATAGCGAACAATTACAACACTTTCACATAAATATATTCGTAAATGTTTATTTATTACACTAATATATTCGTTACATTAACGTAAATAAATATTTGTCTTAGATTAAACTTCTCCTTGTGATATAATTGAAACTGCATTGATATTTACGTCAGATAATTTTAGTCCGACATAATTGGAATACTTAATTTTTTTAATAACGAGGAAAATAACGAGGAAAATAACGAGCTAATCAGAATTTCGTAACAGATATAGATTGTTGCCTTCTCTTTTTATCGCACCTTTCGCGTGAATAGTATTAATTGCTTGAGATATTAATCGAACGACATCTGTCTCGTTTTCATTGCAGAGGTGGGAGCAGCTGGTCGTTTCGAAGCTGAAATGGGAATTATCCGCGGTGACGCCCGGAGACTTCCTAATGCACATCCTCAGCAGATTGTCGATGCCACACACCTGTGACACTGTGATGGTTCGGAGGCACGCGCAGACCTTCATCGCTCTCAGCGCCAGAGGTGAGAACGACAGATTAATGTATTGTATCGAGAGAATTAATAGAATTTAATAGCAGATCGACAACAGGGAGTTATAACAATTCTTATCAGCGTTGCTGTTATATTAATGAAGAAGCATCTTCCAATCTTTCACCATTCGTACTTCTTTCTACTCGAGTTCACAGAGTAATTCTCAGTTTTCTAAATATCGGAACGGTCATCGTCACAAATATCTTTAATATTCATTTCTATCAATGTATATAGATTAACCTTAATCTCGGTTTATTTACTTCTTCATCTTTATCAATTTTTTTATCTCTATAAATTCTAAACTAGAAAAAGATAAAAAGTAAGTTAAACAGAGATAAAATTAATCATATATAAGTAGAGCGTAAGTGAGAACACCGAGGCAAGTGCCTTTTCTAACAATAAGTGCCCTTCGTACGTTGTTGCACGTTATCGTATATAGTACACGGGGCGTTAACAACCGGCGACGTGCGTCGTTAACATACCTACGCATTAATGAACTTACGCCCCAAACGTGTATCGTAGAGCGTACACCGATAGCGGAAACCATCACGTAACAGCCACGAATAGCTTTCTTTTTACTTTCCCTCTTTCTTGCTCTCTTTCTTTGTCTTTGTTAAATAGGTCACGCATATACATACAGAACGAAGTCGCCAATAAGGCGCGCAGTGGAAATGCGCGCTTAGGAGGATAATCCGTTATTATGGTTATTTGCACTTCCGTCTGTTCACGCCCATTAGTTCCGAAGGAGGAGAGGAAGAGCCTGCGCGCGTCCTAAAAAAATAAAAATAAGTAGTATAAGTTTTTCCGTACGACGACATGTGTTATCATTTTTACTACTCTTCGCTCGTCGTTGCGTCGTAGAAACCTGGAGCACTATTCTTGAACAAATATTGCATATGAAAATAGCAATTCCGTATACAATCATCCAATCACAATCGAGAAACTGTCATTTTCGTATGCGAAAATTATTTATATGTGCTCAAGAATAGGGTCCCTGATTCTGACGGTTCTGTAGTATTTGTACTAAGAAAATAGATGTATACTTCTACTAAATGTAGTATAATATATATTTGATTCTAATAGCCAATAAATATTATTTATATATAAATACATTATTCAAAAAATTTTATAATAATATGTATTAAAAAATAATATATACTGTACTATTATTATATACTATATTATATTATATTATAATATATAAAATTACAATGTTATAATAACCGATAAATACAGGCAACAGTAGTAATAAAATATTGTAAGGATTACCATCGTCGCATGAAGAAATTGTTCCCTTTTTTGTTTCCTTTTTCATTTCGAAGTTTCTTTAAAATAAAAATTTAAAAGGTCCAAAACGGAATATGCGGATGAATGTGGAAAATGCTACTTTTCTGGAAAAATTTCGATATTCTGCGCCCTGTTAGGTACGAGGAATACTTGAAATGTTTTACGTGCGTTTAAATGAGCGTTTAAATGCCCAGTCACGTTAGGCGTGAGACTACGGTTTCTCTGGAATCTGACATTGGAATTTTACTGCATTTTCGTTGTCTTCTGCATTTCTAACATCTCTGTCGTACATCACGGCGACTTGCAATCTTTTAAATGGAACATGTTCAGATTAACTAAATTAAATTCATTTAAAAAGAAACTTAACATAAATTGAAACGACTTGAAGATTTTCTATCTTTGAATTTGCGAATTACAATTTTTAATTCGATAATCCATAATATCTTTTCATTTAAAAACAAGCTTAAATGAATCGAGGGATTTGTGTAAAGCTTTATAATTCTGTTATTTTTTAAAGCACATGAAATATAACAGAAAATTGAATTACAATCTTTTTAGTCCTCAAACACTCATTTCTCAAAATACTATGGATGGATTCTTCATGATTCATGTCTATTGTCCTTCGCATCGAGAGAGAAAATCTGTCGGAAAGTATGGGACGAGATAGACAGACCGATAGTGTGAGACTATAAGAAAGATCGAGGATCGGATGCGTTTAAATGTCTGGATGCGTCTGTATGACTGCAGACACATCGGCATAACCCGCGTGTCTTTCCATTCTCTTCGTTCTTCCTCCTCCGACGCTCCGGTCGTTCTTTGCGCCTTCCTCTCTCTTTTTCTCGATTCTTCATCCCGCAAGTCCACATCGGTCGATCGCGGTCGGCCGGTTGTTATTACAACCGCGATGGCAAAAAAGCAGTGGCGTGCGGAGAGGACCTTCGTCCTTCGTCGTTGCTCCTGGTGCTCGTTTTGGATCGCAGACTCGGCGGGTTCGAGACAGAAAACGAGAAAGAGAGAAAGAGAGAGAAAGAGTGATAGAGGAGGACACATAGGATGAGGTCGCGAATTGTTTCTCACGGACCAAACTAGGCAGAACCGCACTCGGCACTCCGCGTTTCTTTTTCGAAAGAAAGCGAGACGATAAGCCGTCTTGAATTTTCCGCGAAATCGACAGTCGAGAGAATAAATAATCGACGAAAAATATACGAATCCTCAATAACAATTGCGTACTGGATAGCGTGCAGAGTTGCGCAGTGAAATAGATTGTAAAACATTAGAAGCTTGTATGCAAACCATAGAAAAAATATGTAAAATATTTTAAATATTTATCACTTGTTTGTATTACTACTTAATGCTTTGTTTTATATATTATACAATAGATTGCGCTTTTGAATTAACTTTTCAAAGTTGATTGAACTCATTCAATTATAAATCTCTTTGTTAAAAATATCGAACAATTCAATTTCCTCTAAATCACATTTGAAAGTTTGGATTATTCTTATCAAGACAGTATTCTTTTGTATGAATTATCAGAGGCTTCTTAAAATTACTGATCAATTTTAAGCAAAATCATAAGGCTTGTGAACATATTCTCGTAAGACTTACAAGTGCTTATAACTTTATGTAATATATTTACAGACAGTTTCTTGCTAGCTATAAGATTTATGAAAAATCGTAGATATTTATGAATAATCATATATACGCATAGAATTACGATATCAATCATAAGTTCTTACGAGAATAAGTTATACAAGCTTTACGATTCTATTTAAAATTGACCCATTAATGTGCCTTTTAATCAACATAAATTAAATGGGAATCTTACAGAGTCAGTAATTGTGTCACAAATTTTATTAATTCCGGAGGAATAAACATCTACATTATGCCTACATTTATATAACTGTTTCAATGATAATTCAACGATTTTTATATCTTAATCTTATAAGAAAAGAATTTAATTTAGAAAGCGAATGTTTCAAACGAGGAGAAAGGAGATTCGTACGAAGAGAGGATTACCCATCGAAGCTCGGCGACATGTAACCGTGAATTATTATTTGTTTACACGGTGGCGACGAATACGTCGCATCGTCAAGAGCGACGGGAAGTGACGATACGGCGCGAGGTGTATAGCTTTGATTATGTAAGCTAAACACTCTCGCGGGGATTAAGTTTCGGTATGCACAAGTACTGGTGCAACGCGATAATTTCGTCTGATGTTCACATTCCATAGCTATCTCCGCGCCCTGCGTCTCCTCTCGTACATTCTTCGCGTGTTCTTCATTAAACTACTTTTACGTATCTGCATGTTGAGCACGCTCTTAATTTTAAGTTAATTTATAGTTAATAATCGCGACATTCTCTCCCCGGTCGATTTCATTACCGATCAGCTACGATCGTCTCAAAGCGTAACACGAACTGATGACGCATTGAGACATTGGGCTCGTTTGTATTAAGGTAGTGTGTAATTTTCTGACAAATCTTATCTAGTACAGATTATTTTGTGTAAGTTTATCGAACATAAATACTTTCTTTACATTAAATGTGTATAAATTTATCCTCGAACGCTTTCAGCAACTTTCATAACTAACTGAGTTATTCTTTAGAAATTGCTAGAATGATCAAGCTTAGAATAAAATGGTGAAATTATTAACCAATTTTGAAACCGTTACAAAATAGACGAAAGTTTCGTTAGTCAATCTCTGATAAGACAGAGGGCAATGCGTTTTACATAGTAATTGTAAACATGATTATACGTATAGTATTTAAATAGCTCAATAGATTTGTTTTTTATTCCTGTTTTTTATTAGATTACATTAGAACTTTCTTTCTCGTTTTAATCAAATATCTAACATATATCTATTTTATTTTAATCTCTAAAAGTATATACTACATATATTTCAGCTATAGAAAACAAACATTATGTATATAATTCACAGTTTATTTTGTTATTCAAAATTTTATTTTTCCAATTATTTTCATAAAATTTAATTAAAATTTACGAGTACTATGTAAAACAAATATTATATAAAAATGAAATTACTGTAATACTATTTTATCCTAGCAGCTCATATGGATAAATAAAAATATATGAATAAACTTCAGAATGATAATTTTTATTCACGTCTTTTTAGAATCTTGAACTCTAATATCGTACCTTAAATTTTAGTATTAATTAATATTATATTTTAAATTAATATTATTTAAATACATAAATCTTTCGTCCTTGGAATACACATGCTCCGATCTAAGAAACATAATGTGGATAGTATTTGTCCTTTTTTGCAACTTGGAATCAGAATCATTAAGAATGTATCGATAATAGCTTTGCAACATTGCTGTGAGAATCGTAGAATACCATTAAAACGACAGTCAAGTAGACCCCCGCTGGTGCAGATGTTAACGATATCCCGTCGAGGATCCGTCGAGGATCGTTCGTGTTCACGTTGAAACGTTAGAACTTTCTTCCTGAAGAGATGAAAGTAACGTCTTACTGGACAAAGAGACCATCACGTGTCTCCTACGTTCCGCCCGTTCTCGCTTATCATAAATCTGTCGCATAATTTCGAGGACTATCCAAGAAATCTCTATGAAAGTGGTTTTCTTCTCTTCATTGTTTGCTAACCATAACTGGAGTAAATAACGAAGAATGTACTTAAGCGAGATAAATGCTCGTGAAGAAGATTATTCTTAAAAAAGATGCACCAAAAGTCGATTTTAGACAGAAAACCATTATTAATATTATCAAATGTTAATAAGATAACTACGCCCAATATGATCTATTTGATGTTTATAGATAAATACATATTGAAAATATCTCATTTTCAATTAATGTTCAAAATGTTTGTTATTTTGAATCTGACCATTCGTTTTCGATATTAAATTCAGCAAAAGTTACAACTTAGGTAGACGATATTGGATAAAGTTATCTTATTACTTATTCAAATATCAATACAAAAGACTTCGTTCTCTTTCATAGAATGCACTCGCTTTTTTCTTGATTTCATTCTATAATTATGTTACATATTATTGTCATATGCAACTTTGCGTGCATACTTTTATTATAAATAAAGTGATATCACATGAATTCTGTACGTGAAAGAAATTTATAGGAAACGTACGACAATAAATGTAAATCTTTCACGCGAGCATATTTTTAATGAGTAATTTTATTTTGCAGAGTACAAGTTCTCCATGTACACGCCGAGCATGATTGCAGCCGCAAGTGTAGCGGCGGCGTTA